CACTTTCTAAAAAAGCCATTTAGTTCTCTTTGGAATGATGTAAAAACGAGCGTTCTTGCTCATTTTGCTTCCGAGAAACATGCAAAACGGGACGGCAAACATGAAATTTCGCAGTAATCTTACGCCACCCTTGCACAAAACGACGATAATTTTTCTAATTTCATAGACAACAGAAGACTGTATTTTTTCTACATAACCCCCCCCCCTGAATTTAAAGCTGGATCCTCCCCTGTCTGAAGGGTAAATTATGCATTAATTTCCCAGACCAATGAACGATTGGAGATCTTGAACTGGCGAGAAGAGACTTTATCAGTATCGCATTCAATTCGTGCACACACTCGCGCTATCTCAGGCCTGAATTGGCACAGATTCGATCCAAATATCATCGCCACTTCTTCAGTGGATACCTTCGTGAATGTGTGGGATATTCGTGATTCGCGCCGCCCCACATTGTCCCTCGCCAACGTGGCCGAATCATCCCAAGTGCGATGGAATCGAATATCTCAGCACTTGATTGCAACAGCCCATGATGGTAAAGCTAAACTGCAATGCAAGAAGTAATTTTATTGTGTGGTCCCATTTCCAGGTGACATAAAAATTTGGGATCAGCGAAAGGGTTCATATCCACTTCAGTATATTGCGGCGCATCTCGCTAAAATTTATGGACTGGACTGGAGTCCCCACATAGAGAACCAAATTGCCTCTGCCAGCCAAGACCATTCAGTTAAGTTCTTCGACACTTCCAATCCGAGAAAACCTGACTTTGTCCTCAGTACTGGTTCGCCCGTATGGAGGGCTAGGTAATGAAAAAAACTTGGCAATCGGCGTCTAAATAAACCCGAATCTTCTCCAAGGTACACGCCGTTTGGGAACGGCATGATAACAGTGGTGGTGCCTCAAATCCGCAGGGGCAGCGAGAACAGTTTCTTGCTGTGGAACATTTCAAACAGGGCCGCTCCAATGCACACGTTCGTAGGGCACAGGGATGTGGTGCTGGAGTTTCAGTGGAGGCCGTCCAGGCCCGATGATTCCTATCTGCAGCTAGTCACTTGGTCCAAGGATCAAACTCTGCTGGTTTGGAAGATTGAGCCCTTTTTGCAGAAGCTGTGCGGCTACGAGCCGGACGATTTGAGCATTTACGACGACAATAGTTCAAGTAAGTGTTCCTATTAGAAAACGCAAAGAGCAGCTGAAAACTGGAAGGTTTAGTAGGGGGAATTGACGAAGCAGCCAGCACAGTATCCTTGAAGAGAATTCAGCCGCTGCAGCAGGAATTCTCGTTGCTGAACGTCCACATCCCCAACCTGGAAGTGAAAAACATGGACTCCTTAACAAGGACCGTGACCGCAACGTGCAAAATTAACACCGTTATAACGCACGTTAAGGTGATCTTTCCAAACGCTTACCCTCTGGGGGTGCCTCCAGCGTTCCAAGTAATGCCCGGCTCCAACATCAACGACTCGATAGGTTCCCAGCTGCTGCATACGTTGAACCATCTAGCAATTCAGCGGGTGTCGAAGAACCGCACCTGCTTGGAACCGTGCTTAAGGCAGATGGTGACCACGTTGGAGCAACTGTTGGTTGATATTGATAGCGACCGATCATTTGAAAGAGTATATGTGGAACCCACCGTCAGCGCGGAGGGCTACAACGACGCTTACATTCCCTTCCCTCGAACTTCGGGCGTCAAGTTCTGCTCTGTGAACATTTTGGTTTGCTTTGGCAGGCCGCTGTTGACGAGAAGATTGGGGAATAAAAACGATTCGGGAACTCCGAGGGCGCTCTCGGCTTTAGAAGGGATTTTAGCTAAGCGATCCACAGATCAAATGACTGTTTCTGCGTATTATTTTCAGAGACAAAAGCAAAGGTGGCAAGTGCAGGAGTTGTTTGAACTGTTTTGTATGTGGAAGATTTTAGGTCTCGATCGAAGCATTCGCTATCGAAAGCCTCCAAGGCCATGGTGCACATTTACGACGCTACCAATTTGTTCTTGATAAATCGCCAGCTGGCTGAAGATTATATTTTGTATGGGGATGTGGCCACTATCTGCAAGGTACCACTCCAAATAGGGCGAGTGGGAACAAGTTCAACCAAAGCTTTTTTAGCACAACGCAGCAGCCGCCGCTGTCGCGGGAAGACGGGATCTGGTTCAAGCATGGATTCTAATAGAGATTACTTTAGCCCAACGTCTAGTGGATGATGATGGTGATTGGGCTGGCCATCCATGTGGGGATAACTTACTAATTTCCTTGTAAGTCCTTGTGTTCAGCCATCGTCATGTTTGCTACCGCAGCTTGTTTCAGAATCAATCACTACGCTTCTCAGGCGGATCTTCAGATGGCTGCAATGCTCTGCTGCATCTACGGTAAGCAGCAAGAGAATTCGCTGAGAAAGGCGTCTTTGAAGTCCATACTTTCTCCAATGGTGGGTGAACGCTGGAGTAGCTTTAATTCATTGCATGCGTTGCCTCATTTCAAACGATAATTTCCATTTTCTCACATCAATTTACTACTTTGTTATAGCATCTAAATTCCGGCCAACGGTGGTTTAAGGTAATTACAGTCTGCAATGCTGTTGTAGCGCCAGCTTATCTGTTGTAAATGTGGAATAAATGGCTTTGCTTGCGTTAATGTTTGTGGCAGTGGGAAACATAGATGGCGTCTCTTGGTTAATTTAGAAGTAATTTTTCGTATTTTGTGCGAGTGCAGTTCCTCGCTAGACACTCTGTACGTGCATGAAAATTGTTCTTGGGTTGATTACAGAGAAGTTGAATTAATTTATCTTACTGGTATTATTTTTACTCAAAATTAATTCCTGGGTTTCAGTCATTTATTGTCTCTATTTATCAATTAAAATACGTTTCGGTGTATTTTTCCACCATCATCAGTTTTTATGTGTAGCGTTGTTGCTGCTTTAAGCCTTGGCATGCATTTTCTTGCTCGGCAAAAAATGCATGCCA